GCCAGCTCGATGTACGTGCCCTTCTCGATCATCATGTAGCGCAGGAGGTTGTCGGGCCCCCCGAAGGCCTGGCCGAGCTTGGCGTAGGCGTCCGCCATGGCCGTGATGCCGTCGGCCTCCTTGAGCTGCTTCTGCAGGTTCGCGTCGGCCATCATGGTCGCCTGCTCGAACTGCGCGCGGGCCTCGGCCTCGATCTCGTACGCCCGCCCGTCCGCCTGTTGTTGCTTGGACTCGCGCGCCGCGCGGGCCTCGGCCTCGATCTCGTACTTCCGCGCGTCCGCCGCCTGCTGCTTGGACTCGCGCGCAATGGTGGCCTTGACGACGTCCGAGGCGCGCAGGCGCTCGAGCTCGGCGGCGGCGCGCTTGACCTGCACGTCCTTCTTGAGGTCCTCGTCGCGCGACTCGGTGGCGCGGGTGGCCTGGATGCGCGCGATCTCGACGTCGCGGTTGAGGTTCGTCTTCTGCGTCGACAGGTTGGCCTCGGCCGCGGCGCGCTCGATGTCGCGGTCCGTCTTCTGCACCGCCGTCTCGGCGTTGATCTTGGCGATCTGCCGCTCCTGGTGGCCGCGCCGGTCCGCCTCGCCCACGTTGCCCAGGAGCTGGGCCTCGGCCACGTCGATGCGGGCCTGGTTGGTGGCGCCCTCGTGCGCCTTCTGCGACAGCGACTGGAAGTACGTCGAGCCCACGGCGTCCTTGAGCTCCTTGACGTTGGCGTTGTAGATCTTGAGGCCAAACTGGTCAAGCTCGCCCTGGATGTTGCGGAAGATGCGGCGCTTGAACTCCTCGCGCTCCGTGAAGATCTCCTCCATGGTCATACTCGACACCAGCACGCGCGTCTCGCCCTCGATGATGCCCTTGACGATGTTCTCGAGGTACTGCGTCCCCTTCTCCTTCTCGGACGAGTCGGCCAGCAGCATGGCGTACTTCATGAGGGCGTCGCCGCGGTCTTCGTCGTTGGCGTGGACGGCGGCGTGGACCCCGGCCTGTGGGCTGTCTCCGAACCTGGAGTTGGCACCGCGCGCGTTCACGTCACTTCGGGTAGATGGTCAGCATTCTGTGTGGCCGCGGGGCGTGACAAACGTTTATTCATGACTTACGGGCCGATGGTAAAAACGACGGGGAGCAAGAACTGTAGCTTCTCCTTCGTCATGGCTGCAGGATAGTTAGTTGGCGACTCGCCGGATTCTGCATGGGAAGGGGGAGGGGGAACGCACCTTGTAGGTTCATGGCATAGTCGTGGGGTTGGACAGAGAAGCGGTTGCATCTCTGGAAGGGCCAAACCCAAGCTGCTTTCGTGATGAGAACATTCTTGATGTTCATGCCAGTGATGGCAAGGTACTGTTCGTTGCAGATATTAGAGAGTGCTTCCCTGGTTGTGTTTTTGATGTCTGACGGCGTTTGCGAGAAATCCATACGCCATCACCCCAGGAAAGTAGGAGACTGGAGATAGCTTACCTGATCTGGTGCCGCGACTTTGTACGACATTTTGGCGACGTGATAGGATGTGAGTTTGAGGTGATTAGGAGATAAAAAGAGCTAAGCAAGAGACAGTAATCTCTCTTTAATAGAGTATTAGAAGAAAAGCTGAAGGCGAAGATGTCACTAAAAGAGAGAGGGAGCAAGAGAGAGAGAGAGAAGCTTGGTTGTTGGTCGACGAGGTTATGTTGCAGATGGGATAACAATTACTGCCTTTTTCTGCGAGGATGGGAGTGGGCTACTCATAATCCATTTATACAAAGTTTTGCGGAGGGCGAAGTTTAGCTGTAAAGTGTTTTAAATGGGATGAAGTATGTATTGAGGCTATGCTCGCGGGCGCTGTGCGATCTCAGACAGTCACCTCCCGGGCATCCGTTTGCCGCTGGGGGCTGTTCACGGAGCAACTTTTAAGATGATTATCTGGGACTATAACCAGGTACACGCCTATACGGCGTATCCACTGTGCCTGTCCGCTGCAGCTTAGGCAGAATCTCATGCATAATTATGGTGTGTTGAAACATAAGACAAAGGAGCAGGAGCTTGGCGATCGTTAAATATGACTTGCCCGTCGCGGTTTTCTGGTTCAGCTTTCCAGACCGGCTACCGGGCCTCCCACACTAGAGAGAATCTAACCATTCGTGGCACCGAAGCAGCTTTTCGTTTTGCGTCAACCCCTCTTTTTCACTGTTACGATTGATCTACATACCACCTATGACATTACCTGTCCATTCCATAACATCTCGTGCGCGGATTTCGCGCAATGCATCTGGAAGCACTGCAGTAGTCCTTGGAGCCTACTCAGGGTTGCAATACAGAGATGCTTCGAAAACAATTGGTCTGGGGAAACGGGACCACAGGCCCACAGGCTGCCAAGATCAAACCGTAGCGTACAAGGGTGAGATGCGTTGGACAAGGATTAGGTATCTGGGTGGTTGTGATTGGCCTCTCAACCCTGTGCCGGTACGCTAGATCTCATCTAATTCAGTGGCGTCGTAAGGCACAACGATTCTGGTCATCAGGGCTCTGATGTCTACCTGCTCTAAACGTTACTCTGTCTCACTGACTTTGGTATATAAACCAATATAACGAACTCCGCCGCAGAGGTGAGTGCACTCGCGACATTTGACTCTTTCTAGGCTGCATTCTAAGTCATTCTGAAAGTTTACATCGCCGCATGAAAACACACGTGATAATTAGGAGTAGATCACCGTGCTTGGGCATCCGTTGCCGCTTGGCTTACAGCGCAACACGATGGTTTGGGGCTAGATTTAGGGATGTGAATAATCCCAGAGTAAAACAATGGAAGTCCGTCTCCGCACTCTGCGCTCCGAACCACTCTACATTGAAGTACCTACCAGTCCGTACTGGAAGTCGTTGGATACTATTGTATCTCGCGTGGCGCGCGCTGGTCTGGGCACTTTGAAATATATATAAAAGAGGTGCCACGTGTTTGTCCGACTCGACATCTCCCAACTGACCAAGACAGAAACAATACCGAGCCACTCAACTCAGCCTAGGGTCCCTGCGTCGCTTCATTACTCCTTGCTCAGCAAACATCCCAGCTCGGCTATGTCGGCCACTCATGAGTGCTTGGCCGAACCTATTAGCGTCCGTGAGTGGCTGAATGCGAGGCTGAATGAACACACCCATCATATGGTAATTAATTAATTTTAAATTCACCGCGAAACCTAACCTAGACAGGGCTTTTTCCCTAGTGGCTATGCACCCCATGAGTCTCCCTCACATGGAAGCCATGGGTATTCTGCTCCCTTGGTACGAAGTATTGTAGGTACTGACTCCTTTTAAGGCAAGCTTCTGGAACGATTCTGCCTCAGCTCCGGTCATCCCCGCATGAACTAGCCCACCCTCGCACCCCGTGACCGAGGCGGATTACTGACGACCGGAGGGGTCCCACCTGATAACCATACACAACGCCGCCGACGGACATCCGGCCTGAACCTAACGGTCTACAACCCATCTAATAAACACCTGTCTTGAACAGATAGTATCTATTATCTCCCCCGTAGCTCTCCCACTTCCCCACTCTCCCGCTCTCCTATTCTCCCAGCCTCGACGAACCAAAACAACATCGTCGAGATGGACTCCAAACACGCCGCACAGGAGGAGCAGGAGCAGCCGCCTCCCTACTCCAACACGCAAGGAGGAGACTCCTTGACATCCCATCTACAGGCGCATCTCAGATCCCTCCCGAGCATGATCCGAATGAACCAGCAGGCGCACTCGGTGCAGCAGTCGCTGGACGACATCGCCCTGGGCACCCTCCTCTTGCTCCAGGTCGACGACTTCCTAGGCTACCTGGGCGATCTGAACAGGGCGCCGAGGCTCTCCCAGCTCGTCCTCGTGCCCGAGGGCGCCGTGCCACCGAATGCCGTCCTCAGTGGCTGGGAGGAGATGAGCAGGCGGGGCGAGCTCTGCCGCGTAGCCCGCGTGGCCACTAAGTCAAGCAGCGGCGGCAGCGGCACCGACAGCAAAAATCCAGCAGCAGCAACAACAACGACAACAGCAACAACAACAACAACAGCAGGGACAACGAACTCTCACTCTTCCTACACCTACTCCTACGCCACCAACTCCACCTTCGCATACGGTTTTGGGGGCCCGTCGTCGTCGCAGCAACAAGCGGCGGACATGCTATGGTGGAGAGACGAGGACATGGCCCGTCGGCTGGCGGGCCACCTACAGCCCGCCGAGCGCCCCCGAGAAGAAGAAAAAGAGGCCGCCTCCCAGCTCCGGACACCCCCGGTGCCGATAGTCGTCGACGGGCGGTCGCCGCCCGTCCAGAAGGCGGCGAAGAAGGGCTGGTTCGGGATGAATAGACGAAACGGGTACGGGAACGGGACCACGAGCGGGAGCGCCTCTACCTCTACTACGCTAGCGGCCGAGACGACGCGGACGGATGCGGACGTGAAGGCGGGTCCGGGGAGAAATGATGATGCGACGAAAGATGGTGTCCGAGGAAGCGGAAGCGGTGATGGCGGCGCGAAGATGTCGGTCACGGCGGAAGAGGTGGCTTTCCGAGTCGAGAACGACTTTGGTATAGTGGAGAGCATCCGCGGCTGGGCCGTGGTTGTTGTGGTGCATGTTAAGACATGAATGAGGTTTAGTCACGGCCTGCGCTGTAAGTCTGCAGCGACAACCTCGCAGATGTGATACGTATAAGTGGTTCAGTAACCAAAGGCTGTCACCGTGGATATTCTGGTTCCTTTTGCAACGCTGATAGCTCAATCGGAAGTGCGCGTAGTAGCGCCAGACTGTTCCACCAATACCACGGTGAGTAGCACACAGCTGTCACAGGCTTGATAGTTGATGGTTCAAGTTCTTGTTCTAAATAGCTATGTCAGTTAGACATAATAAACGAAGTATACTATTTTAATTTACCTGGGCTTGGTTATCTTTGTCCCCGACTATTCCTTTTTAATACTAATCATATGTAGTAGGTACGTACATAGAGGGTTGAAAGAGGAAAAAAGAAAAGATTTCCTGACTCGAACAGGAAAAAAATGCGACACCTCTGGGATTCGAACCCAGGCACCCGAAGGAATAAGATTAGCAGTCTTACGCGTTGACCACTCCGCCAAAGTGCCTTTGGCCTTCGTTACTGGCTTGCCATGGAAGAATGGCCGTCAATCTTGCTACCTAACTCTTGCCCGGGTCCTCTCCTTCCAAGTTAAATTTGCAATGCCCATGTTGCTGATTGAGATCATCTTCCCACTGGTCAGGTTTTTGTTCAATGCATCCTGAGCTCTGCTTAGTTGCACATAGTGAATTTTTTGTCCCAAACTCAAGCATTAGGCAACTTGTCTATATTTGTTCATGGATGTCAATTAAAGCTTTGTGCACATTATTTCACAGAGTATAAAGTGGGAGGTCCTCGCTGATCAAAAGGCTTTCTATCTTGAACTTCGAAACAACTTGCTCGGCACTACCCGCATTTAACTGGATAGGATACGAAGTTACTTCCGCTGTCAGAGAGCATCATGCCTGCATCCCAGCGTCCGCCCACCACCGACGCAGCCCATCCACATCGCACCAGCTGAAATGCGTGGGGTTCTCATACCACCAGCTCTCACCAACCTTCGGCTTATCGCTCGCATACTTCTTGAGGCTGCCGCCGTCGAACCGATGGTTCTTGACCCCGAACAGCAGAACGACGCTGCCGATCCCGGGGTTGAACTGCTCTGGGTCGAGGAAGACGGTGAGCAGCACGTGCTTCTCCGTGGATGGGTCTGTGAGCCGTGCCTGCCGCTGCGTGTAGGGCGGAATGCCGGCCGGCTCTATATCCGAGATGGCCGACACCACGCAGAGCACGTTCACGCTCCAGTTTTGCTTGTATGGAAGGTTCGGGATGGCGCGCAGGTTCGTTAGCTTTGGGGGTCGCGATAGATTTGCGATTGGCCGCGGGGTAGCATCAGCATCAGAGCTTGTGATGTCCCGCTTCTGTGTTACAATAACAGTGGCTATCTCTTGGCGGTTATGGGCTGTCTGGCCCTCGGAAACGGCCATGATCTCGAAGTCGTCGTCTGCATCGAACGATTCCACGACTCTCTCCTTGACCTCCTCGGGTTGTTCACCTGACGTTTGACTCGAATTCCGTCTTTCTTCGGGCTTGGGAGGCTGGGAGGGCTCTCCGGAATCATGACGCGCTTCATGTTCGCCATGTTCGACAAGGACGGTGTCGGGGTCGAGTTCTTCCTGGCCGGCGATCGAAGGGTCGGTCAAAGTGTTGTTCCACCCCACCAAGACGAGACTCTCAACAATCAAATAAACCATCTCGGCCTTCTCTTCACCAGCGCGCATCTCGACGCGGAACTGCTGCAGCTTCACGTACGAGCCGAAGCAGATGTCGCCGCGGTCGACGAAGCGGTGCATCTCGGTAGACAGCAGAGCCTGGATGCAGAGCTCGCCGTCGCCGAGCAGCAGGCGAATGGCGCGCCATCGTCTGGATTTCGAGGTATGGGCGATGTCGACGCCTTCGACGAGGAAGATGGAGTCGGGGACGCAGAAGCGCGTGCGGAGGATATCGGCTATGAGGGGCCTGGGCTCGAAGGGCTCCGACGAGATGTATGTTATATCGGAGGACGGGTCGGGAAGCTGGGGAGCCGAGGCTGACATGGGAACCTCTTCGGCGCCTTCATGGCTCTTTGGATTGTGAATAGTAGAAAATAGAAATCCTACAATGGTACTTCGTATGTACTAAGTACCTAGATCCGTACAGTTACTGACGATTGCGGGCATGTGAGGTGGTGGTGGGGGGTGTATTTAAAAGTGGATTAGCATACTTGTAGTAAGACATCCCTCCATCTCGTCGGCACATCAACATCCACTCCTCCCTAACAAACACAGCTCTCTTACTTTTCCTTCTTTTTCATACAAGAAGGAAAAAACAAAATGAGGCCCGTATAACCAGTCGACAAAAAACGCGACACCTCTGGGATTCGAACCCAGGCACCCGAAGGAATAAGATTAGCAGTCTTACGCGATGACCACTCCGCCAAAGTGCCTTTGGCCTTCGTTGATGGCTCGTTGTGGGGCCAACCCTCACAGTTGACTAAGTCCGTGATGCGGGTGGTTGGGCCTATATCACACGAGAAACTTCAATGGTAAGAAAGGTGTTAGATGCCGACGTAGTTTACCGATGTTGTGGGAAAGAGGATGACTGGTACGTGGAAGCCACTGTAAAATGTTGTCTCATACAATGCTCCTTTGTACATGCTACGAAGTTGGCACAGGTGGTGAGTATAGTAGTGATGCCGTTAGAACATGTTTTCATGATTGAATTGATAAAATTACAGTGATATAGTCACAAGGGGAAGCACCTTTAATTACGTTTGAGTCTATGTGAAAAACGTAGCCATACTTAGTTGAGTCCGAATATCAAGATGAGGATTAAATGGCCGGAGGCTTCTAGGCTTAGAGTATCTATATATGTTGTTGATAAGGCCCAGGCTAACTGAGCTTCGCGGAGGGGTGGTAAGCTTTGGGGCTCCAATGCATAACTAGGACACAAGAAAGTGGAAGGATCATATGGATTTAGGCGAGTCGCCTGCATGGTAGTTGAGGTTCGTGATATACTTGGGTATAATATTGACATGTGCGTTGCTTCCCGTTGAGAAGTGTGCATGTCCTGCTCAGTTAGCGCGTTCGCTAGAAATTGTTACGAGGGAAATGGCATCAGGAGTGAACCCGCAAGCTAAATGCAATATGTCAATGAGCTATGGCGTGTTTAACCGACGTGTATGGCTCGCAGAGACATCACAAAATATCGATTCTCAAGATAGACCAAGGGTATGATATAATAGCTTTGGATAGCTTTCATTGTGTAAAGCTATCATGGATATATACCGCTACGGACGAGTGACATCTCACTCAAACATAGCCCAATCGGTCGCCGGCCCAAGATCAGATTGATCATTTACGCGACCATCAATCCCGTGCATCAATAACTGGTATCATCCACATCGATGTCCCTAATCCCTGAATATGCCAATTCCCAGATTCGTCAATTCATAAGCAGTACAAGCCCTTTTCACAGGGCGGTTCGGTTCGGTTCAATCACGGGGTCCCTCCCATGCGGACAATGCCCCTCTTGATCCGTCGGTCGACGTTCAGCGCCATCTTCTCGAGCGGCAGCTTGTCATCGATCTTCTTAATAGTGCGAGCAACACGAGGCTCAGCCCGCTGCGTGAAACGCTCGGCGGGGGCGGCGACGCGCGAAATGCTGCGCTCCCATCGGGGGGCCCAGCGGGCTGTCTGCGCGGCGACGCGCTCCTCGGCGCCCGGGAGCATCATGTAGAATGGGGCGAGACTCGCAACGCCAGCCATGCCGAAGATAGCAGTCTCGCTTCTCCGTGCGGCGGGGATTCGGACAGGCATTTTGATGATGTGTGTGATTTGTTGTTGGTAGGTGGTTGGAGTGGAGATTTGTCTAGAGGGTTTCGTGTTAGTAAGATTGAGGGGAAGATGATGGGAGAGTGAGAGGTATCGTACCTGACTCTATAGAGTCTCGGGGTTAATGTTATGACAAAGAAAGTTCCCTCATTCGACTGTTTCGAGTAGAGATAGAGTGATGTAATGTGTGTGGTTTGAAGAAACAAAGACGAGAAGGACGGAAAAGGGACTGTGAAAAGACGGGGGAAGGACCTAGACTTTAAACCAGGTAGGTATGAAATGGGGGGTCCTCTGCCCCAGCGGTGACGACGATACCTACCTAATTACTATTCCTCGCTCCGCGTACTGCGTACCTACTCCCATACATGAAAGGTGTACCGTTCTACTCAGTTGACGTGTACTCGACGAATAGGCTAGCGAATAGGGGCCAGGGTAAGAGAAGCAGAGGAAGCGGGGTAAGCCAATGAAAGCGAGCCGTTGTGTGGCATCACGACGCCAACCGCCAATCATACGACCTCGAGTCGACGGTCAGCTCATCGCTGCGTCTAAGTTGACCAGGGGTGGTACCTATGACGAGATTGTAAGTGGTCTCGCGCAGGTGTTAGGTACCTTTGATAATGCCTTCGCAGGCCTGAACTTGTCGAGACACACAACCCTGTTGCTGGGCATGAGTCGCATGACACACGATGGAGTGCTCAGTTCACACCAATAGCCAATGAAAATCAGACGACCGCTTGCCTGGCCAATTATCTGATCATCCCCCCATTCCGAATTTATTGAGGCTCTGCGGATACTCTCAAGAACTTGCCAGGACTTGCTCCCCCAAGTTTCAAGAGTCTCACATCGTCGTTGTCGGTGTATAAGTCGAACCTCACATCCCAAGTTTGGGCGACATACAGGACATACCTACTAGAGCCTATCGGTGAAGGGGCCTTATTGGCAAGCCAGATCCGGACTAGGAGCGCTCCGCCACCTCCCCGCTTCCCCAGACGTGTCTAAACTAGGTCGACAGAATAGTGGCGAAAGCGAGCTTTAGTAGACACAGTGTGAGCTTACACGCCCATTGCTGATCCACCCCCGGATTCAGTCCCCGGATTTAACTTGTGGGTCTGTTTCAGCGACTCTTCTCCAGGCAGAGCTCCAGGTCAGTGTCCAGGTTGCAAAGGCACACTTAGAACTCGTGGTGCGTAGGTAAAGTTGAACGCGACCATATAATCAGGCCACATACTTATATATAAGTAAGAAGCAGAGCAGGAATTAGGATTGTCTAGGCGCAGGCTTTTCATGTGTTGTTGTTAAGCGGACGGATGACCGAGGACTGGTTTGAATCCTACATAATTGCTAGGTACGTACGCAGTACTTAGGTACTTACTTGTATCTCTGCTTCTGTCTGGAAATAACACCGAGCGGTGGAGACTAGGGCCGACTGGTCCGACAGGGAGGCCCTGCAAGACACCGGGGATCACGAGAATGAGTTCGAAAGTCTTGAAGAATATCAAAACAAAATCGGAAAGAAATGAAAAGAGGAGGAAGGGAGAGAAACGAGGAGAGAGAAAAGGAAAGATCTAGTACTTAATCATAATAAAATCAGCGAGTGCAACGTAAGATGCGTTCGTTTTACTCCAGTCGTACCTCTTTACGTTAAAAACGAAGGCAAAACCTAACCCAGACTATTTTGGGAGCCTATGGGCCCGTA